TTTAGTTTGTTAATTTTGTTTATATCAAAATTTGCCCTATAAAAGGTGTCAGTAGATTTGAAAGATATAGCAGATTGAGTTCAAGGAACATTAGGACTTTTGAGAGGATCAAGCGAATTGGTAGTTCAACTTATAGGTTATTGTTACTTGCTCATATGTGAGATATGCACAATGTATTTATTTTATAATCTTTGAGGAAGTTGGTATCTAAATCTGAAAAAAGGTTATTTGTAGATAATGTTGAGGTTGGGAGCGAACGGAGCGAACAGAACGAGGGGAGCGAGCGGAGCGAGCTGTTTTGACAGAACGTCGGCAATCGGTGGTCCTCCGTTGGCCTTGTATGGCCGATGGAGGTCCTTGGTGTGTCTCCATCATTCTTGACGGAAAGAATAATAGGATGAGCGGAGAAGATCGAATTTTGATCCTGGCGCTCTTGGCTATTTTGCTGGATCATTACAATCTTGGGAATTTGTCGATGAATTGGAATTCAATAGATCTCCATTTTCTTGAGTTTCTTATAATGTCAGAAAGAAGAGAGATTCTGATAGATTCTACGCAATCGATTGATCTCAATCAGTCTTGTATGATCGACAAAGTTCATTGGTGCGTCTATGTCGGTATTGAAGGAAAGAAAAACAGGATGAGAGGAGAAGAGCGAAAAATTTTGCCGCTCATGTTGATTTTGTATGATCATTTTGATCTTTGTTTTTTGCAAATATTTGAAGTTCGGTGGATCTTTATAGGCCTAAGGTAATCCTTCAGCTTGTTTTTGTGAATGAGATCGAATTGAATTCGATCTTGGCAGACATTTCTTAAGATGAGATAATCCTGGCTGTTTGTTGTTCTTGGCAGAGACGATTTTGGTATTCTTGAATGATTAGAATTTTAAAGATTATTTTATGAGGACTTTGTTCAAGTCCAGTTTGACGTTTGATTTTTTAAGTGTTTTTGGTGAAAGTTTCGAGGCAATCTTGGTTTTGATTGCTTGTTATTCTATCTTTGTTTTAGACTATCCTAGTGACATGGCTGGAGCAAGGTTCTTGATTATGATCATTTACTTGAATTCGGGAGTGCTGGATTTTCTTGATTCCATAAATTGGTCTATTTAATTTGGAGATGTTGTTTTTGCTTTTTCAACTTTGGTTTGATCGTCAAATTGGTCTGCCCGTGGATTATTTATATTGAGAAAGTTGTTGGTAAAGGTTTTTTATGAAGATTTGGTTGTTTGGTCACTTATTTTTTAGTTTCTCTTTCAAGATCAAGTCTTATTTATTAAAGATTTGAAGGATTTGAAGTTTTTTGGGTTTTCTCTTGATAATATGAAGAGAATGGTGATGATTATCAATTCAGTTGGCTTTGGCAGTGATGATGCTGAATATTGGCTTCTTGAGGTGGTTGTCGGTGATATGGATTTACATTGGAATATTACTGGTATTGTTCATGCCGGTATGATGGATATGGTGGTGATTTTCAGTCTGTATGACTTTGCTTGTGAAGAGGCTATTTTTTGGACTATTGAGCAGACAGCTGGTGTTTTTACTTTTTCATTGATGATTGATTCTTTCTTGGTGGATATTGTCAGTTGTGTTGATGCAACATCAGAAAATTCTACTATTGAATGGAGCTTGTTCGACCCTAAGATCGATGGGGTTTTGGTTGATGATTGGATAGCCGGTTTAGTAGTTGTTTTTCTTTTTTCTTGAAACTTGTTATCTTTTGCTTGTTTTTATGTTAGGTTTATTGGACCTTTTTAAAACCATTATGATGAAATATGGGATTTTTACTAGCTTTTATTTTTCATCTTTTGGGAAAGCTGGGATACTAACCAAACTTTTAGGTTGTTTTAATATTTGGTATCCCCATCACCCCAATTGATCTAAAATGGAACTTAGTGAATTGCATATCCATTATAGTAGTTTTAAAGGGTTTGCTTTTGCTTTGTAGATTGTATTAGGTTGTTTCTTCTTTTTAATGCAATTGCATTTCTTCAAAAAAAAAAAAAAAAGATAATGTTGAGGTTTATCCAAACCTACATTATAGGGAAGAGATAGATAAGATTATGGCATATGATGTGAAGAAATTGAGGTGCAAATATATTCAGATGATCAAGGTGCAGTGGAAGTATAGGATTGCCAGAGAGGAAACTTGGGAGAAGAAATCTTAGATGAGACAGTTGTATCTTAGTTTTTTCTGACTTATTTTAGTCTAGATATGTTGATGATGTTATTATTTTAAGGTGGATGGATTGTTAAAACAAAAAATAAATAAATTTTTACCTATAATAGTCAAATTATTTCAAGAGTCATTATAAGTCCAAATCATAAATCATCTTTGTCATTGAATATATATTATTGTGTTTTAATTTCTCAAATTTTACAAAATTTTTGGGCATTAGTATAATTCGTTAAGAAATTGGTATATGTCGGCACAAATGAGCTTTTTAAGATGGTTAGATGTTTTTTTTTTTTTTGCAAATTGATTTAAGAAAATTATTCTAGATCTACTTATTTAATTTATGAATATTTTTTCATAATTTTTGGATTTGAAGATATAAAAGGATTTTTATAGATTTTTTTGTTGAAAACTGAATATATGACATAATTACAATTATACCATTTTATTAATTTATAATAAAAAGCATAATTTTTAAAACCCATTAGCCCATTCTGTTTAATAAAGAAGGTTTTGAAGAAAAGAGAAGAGTGAGAAAAATAAAGTTCGATTTTGGAGGTCATAGAGCCATTTTTGTCTGTCGACCCTACTGAAAATTTGCTCGTCCTAAGGTAGGCTATATTTTGCATATTTTAGATTTTTAATAATCAAATTTGTATTTTTGTTACGAAAAAGAAGGATAACTTTATTTTGATAAAACTTTTATCATGTAATATTTTATATGCTATAGAAATTAGAATTATGAACATATTAAGTATAATCTGAAAAAATTTTGTTGAGTGTTTTTGAAAAATAATGATGTTCTCCTATTCTTTTTTTTTTTTTTTGAAAGAAATGCAAACTGCATTAAATTAACCAAACTAAAAGCCTAGATACAAGCTACTTAAGAGTTAACCACCAAATCACTTTCCTCCGTTACTAGTTTAACGAAGGGGGAAGGAAGTGTACTCTCACAAAACATATCCCAAATGAAATGATTTGAAAAGGCTAAGTTAGCATAGTAGTATGCTAACCTATTACATTTTCTGCCAACATAATGAAAAATAACATTATTCCAATTACCCGAGCAAAAGTAATCTTCATCTTCCATGTCTTTACCTAATTTCTTCTATTTGATGTACATCTTCTGAAGAAATTGGATCACATTTTTATTGTCTCCCTCTATAATAACACCTTTGGCATTGTCTATATAATTATTCAAAACTTTCTTTAAAGATCTGAGAGTGTAAAGCTCTACCTGTGCTAAGTCCCAATGAACACCATAAATGTCAAATGCACAGACAAATCTCCCTTTGTCGTCCCTTACAATGCCTCCAATACATGCTCCATAATTACTCTTCAACGAAGCATCTATATTAATTTTGTACCACTCGGGTGGAGGGGCATGCCAGAAATATGAAAACAGTCCATAGGACTGGCCAGCACCCCAGTAATCCAAGAGAACTTTGCTCCTTTTATCCAAACTTACAAAGCTGATCATAGTAGCAGCAATAACCGAGTCACTATCTTCATTCTTACCATATTTAGACTTGTTCCTGTTGCTCCATGATTACCATAACAAAGAGCAATATATCTTCACCATCATTGGATTCTCCTCTGATAAAGACTTCAGCTTCTCCATACAATGCTGAAAGGAATTGAAAAAGGAATAATAAATCCCCATTTTGTCAGCTTACAAATTACCTTTAACAACTTTGAACAATTGGTGGTCACTTGGTCTAAATTCTCAGCCTCCCTATAACCTCTTGGACATAAATTACATTCATCCAGCTTCCTTTTCACGAAAAATTTGCTGTAGGAACTGCACCTTTGCATAATCTCCAAATGAATAACTCTACACGAGCATTTAAGTTCATCTTATGAATCCATGAGTAAGGATCCACATCTGCCACCTCCTTTACATACTCTTCCCTTATTAAAGCCGATATTGATTTCCCGGACAGATTTTTTTTAGCTCCATACACCCTTCTTCTTCTTTGCATATCTGAATTTTTCTAATCAAATGCACTAAGTGTTTCCCAATAAAGAGAAGTAATTTATCTATATTCCAACTTCCCTCTTTAATAAAGAAGTCAAGTGTAGTATTATCATCTTCAAAATCAGCAACAAATGTGGGCCATATGAGTAGACTTTTATCCAGTATCCACACATCCTTCAATACTTTAAATCTATGTACCCTTCACCACTTTCCATCTAACAAGACTTTTAAGAGCCTTCCAGCCACTAGCTATAATTCTCCATGCCAAAGAACCACCTTTTAAAATTTCATTCCTCCACCAATATTCACCGTATCTAGCCAATATAATTCTATTTACAAAAGAATTCGGTATTTCCATCAAATTCCAGGCAAACTTTTGCCCTCATTGGTTCTACGCTGGACACAACTGAATGAAGCCCCCATCCACCCAATGCTCTTGGTTTGCATAATTCTCCCCGAGCCACATAATGCATCCCATGTTTTCCATCTTGCTTATTCCAAATGAAACTCATGCAATGCTTTTCAAATTCCGTCAATACACTTAATGGAATAAGGGAATTTGATATTAAGAATAATGGAAGATTGCAAAAAATAGTTTTTTGTCAAAACCAGCTTTCCAACAAGGGAAATGTATCTATTCCCCTAGGCATTTAAAATCTTCAAGGACTTGTCCAAAAAGAATTTGAAAATCTGCCTTCCTCAATCTCCGAACAGCCATCTTGGTTCCCAAATAGTTAAATTCTTTTACCACTTTAATCCCCATGATCCTTGCAATCTTCTTGTTCTTTCTCCTCTCAACTGTCTTACCAATAATCATAGTCGATTTTTGATAATTCAACCTCTGTCCCGTCTAGCCGCAATAATCACTTAAAATTCTCTTCACGTTCTTAATACTTTTTAGCTTAGCATCAGAGAGTAAAAGTACATCATCTGCATATAGCAAATGTGACACCTTCTGAACACTTGGAGCAATCCTGATGCCTAAGTCCTTGCCTTCATGAATGAAAACATTAGAGAGAAATTGAGAACATATGATAAAAAGAAAGGGTGAGAGTGGACAACCATGACGAAAACCACTCTTCCCCATAATCCATTTAGAGAGTTCTCCGTTGATTGACATAGAAAACCTTGGGTCCATAATGCATTCGATCACCAACTTCATAAACTTCACCGGAAAGCCCATCGTACTCATCATCTCATAAAGGGTCTTCCAACACATGCTGTCGTAGGCTTTCTCCATGTCCAGCTTGATAGCTACCATTCCTGCTCATGATTTTGAAATCCTGATCTCATTGAAAACCTCCTGAGCCATCAATAAATGATCTGATATACTCCTCCCTTTAACAAAAGAAACCTGCTCTTCAGAGATAATTTTGGGAATGACCAATAGAAGCCTGTTCAACAAAACCTTAGCCATAATTTTATAGATAGAGTTACATAAACTAATAGGACGGTAACCAGCAGGAGAGATTGGGTTACTTATTTTAAGAATAAGCACAACGAGAGTATCCTTCCATTCTCTGCACAATTTACCTGTAACAAAAAATCTTCTCACTGCTTTGCAGACATCATTCCCTATAATACTCCAATAAGTTTTTAGAAAATAATATGTTATGCCATCATAGCCATGGGCTATATTACTACCCAGCCCTTTGATAACTTCAAGTATCTCCAAATCTAAAATGCCTGCATCCAAACTATTACTATCTGCTTCATTCATAACTGTTCTCGGGACGGGCCAATTATTCATACAACAACCTCTTTCCTTCCATTTGTCCTGAAAGAAATTGAAGAATACAAAATGCAGCTCCTCAGGCTTTTTAGTGAGTTCTCCTTTAGAATTTCTAATTTGTGAAATCCATTTTCTACTTCTCCTTCCATTTGCAAAAGAATGAAAAAAATTTGTATTAGCATTCCCATCCTCAATCCATTTTTCCTTTGCTCTTTGCTTCCACCAAGTGTTCAACCGGGCAAGAATCACATTAAGCTCCTTGACCTTTGATCTCAACAACCATAGTTTCTCTTCAGTTAGCCACCCCAAACTAGCTTCTTCTTCTTAAATCTGATATATTTCCTCTTTCAGTTTCTCCTTCTCTTTAGAGAAATCCTTTACTTTAGCCTTGCTCCAATAATACAAATCCTTCAATGCTTTCTTGCATTTTTTATTAAGAATTTGCATATCATCTCCTTGGAATCCCTTACTTCATACCTTAGCAATAATGTGTGCCGAAGCCTTATAAGATAACTAAACATCTTCAAACTTTAGTATCCCTCTTCTTCTTATAGAGGACTTATAAATTTTCAGCACTATTGGACAATGGTCTGAAACAACTCTTGCTAAGTGCCTCACAACTGCTACCTAGATGCCATTGATAGCCAAGAAATTGATCAAACACCTATCCAGGCTTTCTAGAATTCAACTACCTCATGTTTTATTATTACACCAAGTAAACCTTTGTCCAACAATTCCCACATCTTGCAAGTCATTCACATTCATAAAGTCAACCATCTCCTTGGGACCTTATGAGAACACAAACTTTCTTCCACCTCTCTTGTCCTCTGGAGACAATATACAGTTGAAATTCCCTCCAATAATTAAAGGAACCTTTCTGTTAGCCACCTCTTGAATACTCCCCCATAACCCTCTCCTCTTCACTACCTCCATCTTCCCATAGACTGCAGCAACCATCCATATCCCTTTATTGAAAACGTTAAGGTCCACAATGAAACATTATTCTGACTTCCTTAATACAAAAAATGAAGCCAAATCTGACCTCCACAAAACCATAATACCTCCAGATAAACCATCTGACGGTAGAAGAAAGAAATCCCAATTGGTCCAAATAATTTTCTCAAAGGAAACTTTATCAAAAGTATTGATCTTAGTTTCTACCAACCCCACAAATAAAATACCATAATCTTTAATAAACTCCTTAAGATATAGAGAGGTCTCTTTTTTCTTGGCCCCCCAACAATTCCAAAGGGCTATGGAATTCATAAATTAAGTCTAGGGGATGAGGCCCCTTCCCTTCTTTTGCTCCCACCACCATCCAAATTCCTAACATGAGGAACTTTCTTGATTGGCCCAAGCGACCTTAGCACTTTTGCCAGTTTCACCTTATTCACCTCCTCTACTACTCCACCATTCCTAGCCAAATCATTTCCTTATTTATTCATGTCATACCTCTGTACACAATTCACCTCCAATGCCTTACCACCAATACCTCCTTCATAACCATCCATACCCATCTCCTCTTCCACCACATCTTCATTCATCATATCACCATTACTCATATTGAAAATATCAAATTTATTAACTGAATTTGATATACATGAAAAATTAGGTTTAGTGATCATACCCAATTCTCTAACTGAATTGATTTCAAAATTGTCAGAATGCCCTTCCTTTTCCCTTGCAACAGCTCCCTTATCCTTCTCCATGTGCCGAACATCTTCCAATATGTATTCACCTTCTTCTAACTGTTCTGCATCAGCATTCACAACCTCTTGATTCTGATTAGAAGACATTTCCCTATTTTGTTTCGTTTGATCCTCCTAGACATCCAAGACTATTTTTGCAATCTTCTTTATATATCTCAAATTGCTTGACTTCACAACATTACTTCTTTGGTTATCCCTTTTCCCTTTCTTACGATTAACAAGAATCCACATCCCATAAGAAGGGTTTTTAACCACTTCATGCCTACTTATCTCTTCATCTCCCCCATTACTCTTATAAATAGCAGTCTTCACCTCCTTTGGAGTAGGTTCACATTGGACACATTCATTCTTCACGTGCTCGATCATCCCACATTCAAAAGAAAGGTTGGAAACCTTTTCATACTCCACACTTTGGAAAAATCTTCCAAAAATTCTATCCACCCAAACCTCTAATGGCAGAGGTTGATCAAGCTTCACCCGTACACACACTCTTGCAAATTCCCTCCTCCCCCTTTGGAACATATTCCCATCAATCATTAATGGTTTACCAATCCATGAAGCAATTTTTTCCACATTTACTTCATGCCAACATTGCAATGGCTAATGTGGCATTCTTACCCAAATTGGAGAGGTAATCCCCTTCATGGATAATGAAGAAAATTATGCAGTCAATCTTGCCATCCCTACTATATGCCCATTAACAAACCATGGACCTCCCAAAAGTACTTCTTCCACCATCTCTTCCGAATTTAATGAACATAAGAACCATCCCCTACCTAGAGAGGTAAACTGAAATTGCCGATAATGACTTCATTACCTCCTTATTTCCTAAGCTACCAAATGAGACGACTGTACTTTTTTTGAGCACCTTAATCACCAAGGAATTCAACAATTTCTTTGAATTTGAAATCTCCAGTTCCTCGTTTAACCTCACCGCCTTCCCATCTTCTGACAAAAAATCTTCTTCTTCATTGAAATCAAGTTTGATATAAGGTTTATAACTCCAAGGATTAATATTACCCATACTAATAGTAGTATTCGGAATTTTATCAATCATCTTATCCACATTCGGTTTAATACTCTTACTCCCTAAAGAATGAAAATTTTTATTAACCAAATTTGGTGAATTTGCATTTATCACACTGTGTCCAGGGATTGCACTTGAATTCCCAAATCTGTTAACAAAAATCTTCATTTCTGATGACGATGCAGCTGGACCAATCAAAACTGAAGAAGAGAGACTTTTTTCAGTTCTAGAAGTAACATTAGCCACCAATTCAACAATTGCTTTACCTTTCCATTCCATATGTTTGTTCAACTTTGGTGCTACATCAGATACCTCTTTGATCATCTAGGGACCTTGCAGTTTAAACAACTGATTTTCAGAATTCTGTTTGGATTTCAGAGACAGGGAGCCATTCCCTTTGAAATCTAGCTTCGAATTACCAACAAAGGAAGGCAACCTTGTCGCCGGTGCCTGTGCTTACCGGCGGCACTCCGTCGCCATCATCCCCACCTATTCCTAATAAATAGGATTGAAAACCGGGAATGAGAAAATTTGAATTTTCAAGGGTTTCTGTCTCTAACAGGCGGAGCTTCTCTCAGTTACTTTTGATGCTCTCCTATTCAATTTATTTAGACATCTAAAAATAGTGCTTTAATTTAATCAAAGCTTCAAAATGCTATTTTTGGTAATCTCTGTTAATTTGGTTATGTTTTGAAATTATGAAATTTTATTTAGTAGTATTTTTATTCCTACCATTAAGGCAATTTAAAAATTTTTAATTTTAGTCTAGTCATGGTTTAATTATAAAATACATAATAAAATGTTAATAATTTGATATGATATAACATAATGTGATGTCATATTATGCTGGCACCAGTGTGCTGCCGAGATGGGATTCTACTATGCCGACAACAATGGGAAACTTAGGTGGGATTCTGTTATGCTGTTACCTAGGGGTTACCAGTTGCATCTTGGGCTTCTGAGTTTATAATTTTGATGATAACAAACATTACTGATTACATCTTTTTGTGTCTCCTAGCATTTATACTGTATATTTGATTTTGTGTGTACTATCATTTCATGTATGGACATGTACCATTCAATGAAGATTCAGAGCTCAAGATTGGGTACAATATGATATGCTGAAAAAGTCTATAAAATTCATTTATGTGTATTTTAATTTATTGAGTCAAGTTTGGTAAAGGTGTATGCTTTCCAGGTAACCGTGCACACACTTACTCATGGGAATGAGATAGAGAGTAAAATCATAATAGTAATTTTTTGATTTAGTTGTATTGTATGATAGCTATCATACTACACAATCGCCTTCCTAGAAAATTATTAAAATGACTAATTATGTAATTAAATCTAGTTAAACTAATCGTATTGGATAATCCTGAAAAAACATGAAGCTTAATTGAAATCATGATCTTAGCCACCAATAATAATTTTGGAAATATTTTGAAATATAAATTATTTACAAATACTAATATACGATGGGTATCATATTGTATAATATAATTACATCTGATCAAAATTAATTATATAATTAGAAATTAAATTTGGATTAATTGGTCTAGTAAGATCGTACTGTATGATTGGATAAATCGTATTGTACGACATGATCTTTACGTGGTACAATATTTTATCATCGCCAATCAAACGAGGTGATAACCCAAATTGATTGTAGTAATTGTACTAGATGATGAATATATCATAATGGATGATCAAATCAATCAATTGAACTAATCATACACCACCTTACTCTTCCTACAACATTAATAAAGTTATTTTTAACTAACCATGCCGCATGA